GGATCAAACTAATTTTTTTCATTTTGTTCAAACAGTTTCGCACATGGAACTTTCAAATTTGCCATGACATTCTCCAGGAGTGTAGAGAGCGAAAATGATGGCAACGCCTGGAGTATCAAGAACGGTTCAGCAGGTTGTAGTTAAAGATGAAAACAGGCACCCATCCTTTAGAAGAGTTATCAATCATGTGACCACATACTACAGATTGCGGTTAAAGCACTGGAATATACATCTTAACTTTGACAGTGTGAAACCGATCAATAACTCTGCAAATGGTCACATGTACTCAAAAATGCCACCAGCACAGTAAACATCAATCTACAGAGTGATGAAGCACTGGGACTTGGCACTAATTCCCAACCAATGATCAATATGTATGTAATATATTGTCACTGTAATACAAAAATCACGGATTTGAGATGATAATTCGTGTCAAGTCCCTGTGTGATGTAATGTCAGATAAAACAACGCACCCTGTATCCCTAGTTCATAGCATTTCAAAATTGAAGGTTCCGTATGCGACACCTTGTGCACAAGACGAAAAGACTAGTTTGACCCTTTGATGTACATCGACCGAATCTCGAGGTGGCATAAGGGTATATTATAATAGCTTTGAAGTTGGATATCACTCCTTTGTAATCTTCAAAAGGGGCAAATCAGCCTATGATTGGTCAGTTTATTTCTCCTACAACCAATCAAATTACATGGCTTGTGCCTTCTATTTTGCCATGACCTGTTCCAGGGTTGCAGAGAGCGAAAGTGATTGCAATACCTGGAGTATCGAGGATGTCAGCCCCTAGGTTTTTGTAAAGAATTGCTCTTCTGAATTCTTACATCATCGAATCTTCCCGTAATTTGAATATCTGACATATCTGAGAGACTAAAATTTTAAAACTCAACCGTATTGATCATTTCCATATTCTAGAGACAAGGGCTATTAATAAGAAAACCTGCAGTAAGTTCATTCGTTGTAATATGATGCACAAATACTACAATCGGATGTTGTAAATCTATGCTTGAGCATGAGAATTGTTTCATGAATACGGGCCTTAGGTGTCGCTGATCTGGTGTCTGAAGTAGGAAATGCTGTTTATTTTGGATTTTCAACATTTAAGATAGTGCAATAAAAATATCAACATGTCAACAGATTCATAATTTAAACTCAAATTTGACGAAATTGAACAAAACACTTACGTGTATTTAACATTCTATTGAAATTATCCTTGTTGAAAAATATATAATTGAATTAAGGGTTTATTATAACTACTAATGTGTATTTTTACATTTATTTTCGATCAGCTTTATTTCCCAAACCGCCTCTTACTTTTCAAGTCTTTAGGCACCAACCAGTAATTTCATGACCGAGATCCTCAGAACAGCTCGGATTTAGGGTTTGGCTATACTGTGTCTAGTTCTGAATTTTTTTTATTGAATGCCAATATTCACCTCTGGGGTATACTTGTTACTGTTTTCGTAAAATGTTCACGTGTATAATATACAACTAAATATTTTAATACGAAAAGGTCATCGTCAAATATTCACGACTCTCATAATGTATTTCATAAATCAATATCTTAATATATTTTATACTGTAAAGTTGTAAGGGAGATAATTCATTTTCAGACGTAAACATATATTTATTCTAAGACTCAAAACACGTCTATTTCATTACTAAGCAAGGTTACAGATAATTAATCAATGTATTTTAATCGTTTCTTTGCACTTTTTTAAAAAGTATTAGTAGTAGTAAGCCCGTATGTTTGATGTGACTGGATGGGGATGCTTAATTCAGAGTAAAATATTGTTTATTTTGATAGATAATTGAAGATATCAACTCTACGCTGGTACTATTCTTTTGCATCCTAGCAAAAGTTGGTCCATTTGGATAAAAATCAGGACACAATGGAAAACGAAATTGACGTCAGTTGAAATTTAAGACGTTTTTCTTGATTCACACCAATACCCAGTGTTTAGTGCATTGAACCGTAACACTATCAGTTTTATTTTCATACATTTCATGTAATTGCCAAACTTCGTGTATCGCTTACAGATTAACGGGCCAACACAGCGTTTATGTAAGGGAGGCAATATTGGACATTTTCCTCTGTTGACTTCCATGTACATTGTATTTATATTTCAATTTCTACTCAAGTTGGACTCGATGCAATTACAAAATAAATTCTGTTTCAGTTGTTCTTGAATTTTACCAGAATAACATTGATCTGGACGGATGAATACATCCTTATTATGTAAGGGGAGATAACCCTTACACATATTGATGCTAACTTCAAGGAGAAGTAGTAAAATTTGCTCCTTATTTGAAGAATACATATTGATAAAGATATATTAAGGAAAGGAAACATTCCAAATTTTCAACTAGATAAGTTAAAGTTTACCATCTTCATTGATAACATTCGTCATGCAAATTTTAATTAATCTAATTAATTACTATTGGGGCTCCCCGATGAGCCGTGATCACGTGCCCTAAACTAGAATGTAATGGCACTGGTTTGAAATAAATTGAATTACCTTATATTCGATAAGATCACTAAAATCAATCAGATTCTCTATCTATGGGGTTAGTTTCATATCTTCTTTCATATTTTCCATTTATTTGGACAGACGTAAATTTCTAAAGCTTTCCTTATTTTGCCATCCATTTGTGCTCAACATTAAGCGCTTACTGGTCTTGGAATCACTTTAGATTTCTAGACGATATAACGTCCATAATCAAAATATATATGTAATAGCTTTAAACATATAAATTGTAACTGATTTAACAGTAAAAGACTTGAATTTTGAAGATTATTACCGGTATAGTATATATATCATTATTACTTTCGTAAAGGCGATAGTTTCTGAAGTTTCACGAAGAAATTGTGTAGTGTCTCAATCCACTTCAAATACGTATTTTTTATCGATAACCTACTATAAGAGATTTCAAACCAATAGTATGGTGTTCGGGTTTTTTTTTTTTTTTTTCTTCTTCTTTTATCGGATTAAGAGTTTGATAAAAATCTAAATGTAACTTTGTAGAAGCGTCTCTATGAAGAAAAATATCATAGTACATTTTATCATCGCTGGTTTTGGTCGTCTCTCGTACCCCACAAGGATATCAATTATTCAAATATTGGTATTAAAATGAATATATAATGGAGGTATTATTTTAAAAGCCATTAGTTTATTACAAAATCCGGCACTGCATGTATCTGAGTAATTTAGATTACATGTATATTTTAGTATGATATTTTGGTATTTTTTCGAACTCCATAAAAGGATCCAAAACTTTATTAATCTTCATGAAATGTTTTCTTTTTTGGGCTTGATACTTCTACTGGGGTATTAATTAAAAGCTTATTTACACTTTTGTAATGAGCAAACATTAATAAAGATAAGAATACTGATCACGGACACTCAATCATTTTCTGGGTTTTCAGTAACTCATGGCCAAATACAAATATACATTATAACGTTAAACACTTATTATAATGATAAAGTGGATTCTACATAACATTATATATATATATATATGGGTGTGTGTGTGTGTGGGGGATATTCTAAACGCATTTCGAAACAAAACATTGTCTATCACTGTATGACGCGGAAATGAAATTTACATGTTAGAAAAAGCACAAAGCTCCGTTACATTATCAATTCAAGGTTTTAATATAAGAACAGATATGTGTACATCTATATCAGTGTAAAGTAAATGTTATTTCTGGGCAGAATATGTACGTATGTACGATGGAAGTTGGCTGTTTAGCACGTGCGATTTTCATTAAACGTCTATTTGAATTTAACCTGTTCCCTATCATCAGAGTTCCTGACCCCGCCATTGTTGGTATTTTATAGAATACAACTTGTCTTATGTTCTCAGTGATTTTGAAGGGTTTCATTTTCCCCGACAAATTTCAATAGAAGTGTTTATTCACCAACTATGCAAAAAAAATTGAGCATGTTAATCGATGTGAAAGTTTCAAGTTTTATTACATCCAAATGCAATACAGCATATAGGTTTAAGTATATTGTATACATAATTAAATGATCAAAATTCATATATGTAACGTACAAAATGGCGGAGGACAATTCCACTCAATCACACACACACACACACACACACACACACACACACACACACACACACACACACACACACACACACACACACACACACACACACACACACACACACACACACACACACACACACACACACACACACACACACACACACACAACACACACACACACACACACACACACACACACACACACACACACATCATATATCTGTAGCACGGGTCAGTTACGTGATGGACAACTGTAAGTATGACGTTACAACAGGTACACATATATATGTGACGTCATGAAATAATGACAACAACATCGAAACAATACATAAAACGCACCGTGGCATATCTATTAAGTACTATTTAACGAGTTATTGACAGACATCAAATAACTGTTATTATACATTTATACAAATAACTTAATTAATTCTTTCCAATGATATTTCAATATAATGCTTACTCAGAGAGGAGATTTTTTCTTTTAACAGTAACGTACAACAAGTATTTACCCAAGAAAGACTGAGCGGTGATGCTGACGTCTCTCGCTTCAAGCTTTTACGTAACAAGATACAACCATGTGTTATATGGAAACGTGCTTAACGTTTTCCACAATATAATCCACATTTGAAGAAAAATGTCAAATTATGTGTGAAAATGCGCGAATATATGCCCTGATGTCACATTTGTGGTGTCGTGGCCAAAGAATATTATACACACAGATGTTACATGAACACCTCTGGTGTGTACAAAGCACGGTAAAATATTCTACCTTCTATCCTATTGACGCAATGTCTAATTACCGTTTACTTCAAGTTCTAGGTGGTATCCTCGTCTACAATCTCCATATGAAGTTGTGGATTTTATGTTAAACTCACTCACCATTATTACTAAAATCCTTCAATACAGTGATTTAATAAAATTTGATAGTAGCTATAGTTGTTCTCGTTCTTTCATCACCAAGCGAAGCAGCGTGTCGTAATGGACAATTAAAAGTGTAAGGTCGCCCATTGGATATCGGGGTGGAGGTGGGTTGGGGTGAAGTGGAGAGGGTGAGGTTAGGTGGAGTGGAGTGGAGAGGGTGAGGTGGGGTAGAGTGGAGTGGCGATGGGTTGGGGTGAAGTTGAGAGTGGTGATGTGGGGTAGAGTGGAGTGGAGATGGGTTGGGGTGGAGAAGTGGAGAGGGTGAGGTGGGGTGGAGTGGAGTGGAGAGGGTGAAGTGGGGTGGAGTGGAGTGGAGAGGGTGAGGTGGGGTAGAGTGGAGTGGAGATGGGTTGGGGTGAAGTGGAGAGTGGTGATGTGGTGTAGAGTGGAGTGGAGATGAGTTGGGGTGGAGTGAAATGGAGAGGGTGAGGTGGGGTGGAATGAAGTGGAGTGGAGTGGAGAGGAGTGGGGTGTGTGGTGGGATGGAATGGAGTGGATAGGAGTGGGATGGGGTGGAGTTGAGCGGAGTGGTGGAAGTGGGTTGGGGTGGAGTGGAGTTGAGGTGGGATGGGGTGGAATGGAGTGGAGAGGGGTGAGGTGGGGTGGAGTGGAGTTGAGGTGGGATGAGGTGGAGTGGAGTGGAAAGGGTTGAGGCGGAATGGGGTCTTCAGTGTCTTCTGCTATGTCGTCATTGAAGATACAGATATAAATGTGTTGCCCTCATTACAACACTTGTGATGTTTCATTTGGAATGTTTCCCGAATTTAGTTTCTGATTTTTCAGTAATAATTTGATTTTTTTTTCATTAGTTCTACTCATGTAGAAAATAAAAAATACAAAATAAAAAATGATATTCATTGAAAGTGTTTGTGTTTGTGGATATAGTTCTACAGGTATAGAATAAAAAATACGTGTGTATTCATTGAAAGTGTTTGAATTCAGGGATTAATAGTGCCTGCTGTAACCCAAAACCGGTACAAATATAAAATGAATAAATAAAAAGATAAATCAATATTGAACTCTTATAGATTTTGGATTATAGCTTTAAATATTTTATTTATTTATTCATTTATAGAGTTCCTATATATTTACCTGTTAAGGGGACTAAAGAGCCTCGGAGCTATGAATTATAGTCAAACACGCTCTATCAACTGATTTTCTCTCTACATCTGTATTTACTGCATAATGAGGGACATTGAAAAACTATACATATGAATACGGAGATAGAAAATGTGATACCGCCAGTTGAACAGCTGTTCTGATACCAGTAATGGATAGTATGCTTAAATAACGTGCAAAGACTTCCAGTAGTTGCTGAAATACATCATGGTGTGCATATCTTTGAATCTATAACATTTCCGTCATGTTTTTGAATTTCACTTGATCGATAAATATTCCTTATTTTTCCCATCATTTTTATTTGTCGTCTTGGTTTTCTGTTCTTCTCCTGGCTGGTATTGTTAAGAATTTTGTATCAATATTTTAACAGCACTTTAGTCATTATCATAAGCGTAGCTTCCATAAAAAAAACCGGGCTTACACATATAAAAATCCGTGCATAGAGTATGTCGGACAAAATTACAAAACTAAGGTTGAAAATAAATATCTAATATTTTTGACAAATAAAAAAAAAATATAAATAGAAAATTGTTGAATAACTAGGCCTAGTGCATTGCTTTCCGGAACCATATACACGTCATGCTAAACTACTTCTTACTATCATTTCAACGTTTCCGATTATAATGTTGTTAAAGTTCAAATTTTCAAAAGGAAAAAGGCTTCTGGATTACATATGTCGATCGACGAGTTTTTCAAACAAAGTAAAGTCGAATCGAGTGACCACACTTAAAGTGACACATCAAAGACCGAAGGTACATGTAACATTACAAGCCAGTCTGATTCACCTGGACAGGGCAAGATCGCCACAGGCACAGACCAAGGCACACTAGGCTTAGGCCTATCCGACTGAAAGCCATCTCCGAAAGGGCCCACTTACCCTGATATGGGATTAATTACCAAGATACTCAATGACGAACAGATTCATAATCTTGTAATAAAACCCAATGGCAAGATCTAGATGCTTTTGAATTTCCATCAAGGTAACTTTATGTAGTTTCATTTCTGCGTGCTGACGTATGTGTTTAAAAATCATAACAGTAAAAATGACTATGGTGACCATATAAAGCCGCTTATTTTTTGAGTACGTCACGTGACTTTATTTGCATAACATCGAAGTACACTGTAAACCAGGTCAACCTAGATTCCGTATGTAGAGTTCATCGAGTATCACTTGTTTAAGATTTTTGATAAATTAATCGAGTAAGGAATCTGTAATCGATTTTCGTCGGAAGTACTTGACATCGTAATGTATAAAAATAAATTATTTCAACACTGAAATTATTTTCAACATTAATAAAATTATTATAAAAAGACGACATTTGTTTTTATTAAAAAGTATTTTGTGCAATAAACAAATAAGAAGAGGATATTGGTACAACAGTTTACTTGAATTGCTGTTAAAACATTACACAAAATACGTATTCAGACTTGTATAATATCCAAAACAGACAATTAAGAATTAATCGATTTTAATCGATCATCGATCGATTACACAATGTTGATGATCGATCAACCGATTCCCGACACTAACTCATTTTTACCGATGTCACCTTTCTGTCGTGTTCTCAAAATAGGTTTTACCTTTCCCAACTATGAATCTCGAGCTCGTTTTCACCCTTTCTTTACGTTCAGGTAAGACAAAAGACCTACATATTTTTGGCTTTGTTTACATTTCCCCTAACGCTGATGTTATGAATAAAACACGGACCGCATTTTTTTTTAATTTCTATCCATTCATAAAAAATTGACCATACTAACTTTTGAATTGTATAATTATCAGCAAGTGCATAACTTTTAATATACTTTCAGATATTATAGGACTTTTTTTAGTTGAGACAGTGAAAACTAATGGGTTAGTCCCTATAGGAGTCGCTTTTTATTGTGCAGTCTGTGAACCAAAAATATTCTTATTATACAGTTGTATATTCGTATATGACATAACCTTGGGAAGAACTTTGAAAGTGTGTTCTTCATAATCGGCGGTCACGTATCTGTAAATAAGCTCTCTGAGAATTATAGATGTACAATATAACGAAAAATAAAATAATAATTTGAAATCACTGAAAGTAAATTCTAAAAAAATCTAAAATTCTGAAAAAAAGTAAATTCTAAATCACATTTTTCATTAGGAACAATTGAACAAATCTGTAACAGGTTGTTTAAAAGTCGTAGTCGTGAACAATTAGCATAATGCCATTATGAATTTAAACCGTAATTACAATCGATTGAAATAAGAATGATAAGATGTTCAAAATCTTTACTAGATCTAATAAAGCGACACTGAGTATCACTGACTTCGGCTTTATTGCATCAACAGATCTATTGGTAAGGAAAATGGGAAAATGAGAAAATTAAATTCTGCCTGGCTGAAGCAAAACGACTGGATGAGGTATTCCCTTGCGAAGGATTGTATATATTGTTTGCATTGTTCGATATTTGGTCACGGCGACCCAAAATTGAAAACTTTTACTCTGAAATCGCCGGTTACCGATTGGGCAAGCCTCGGGCAGCTTGTCAAACGCCATCTAAGTCCCGACTCTCAACATCACGCAAATGGGCGTTAACTACATAGATATTGAAATGTCGAATAAAGAATCGATTGCAAGTTCACTTTCATCATCGCACAAGGCGGAAGTAGCAAAGAAAAGGCACAAAAAAAGTAATAGATATCATAATTATGTGCGGCCGACAAAACATTACCCTCCGAGGATATATTGAGGAAAACAGCAATTTCATGGCATTTCTCCACATGTATGCCAAGGATGACCCAATTCTTGCAGACCATCTTGCCTACGCAACTTTTAAATACACCTCACCAGATATACAAAACGAAATTTTAGAAATATGCGGTAAGCAAATTCGATTCTTAGAAGATGTGACGGGTGCTATTTCGCGTTATTTCCCGATGAAACAACAGACAAGGCCACACAAACATATTTCTTAGGGTTCCTCCATGCAAGGTCAATTTAAGGAAGAGATATTTGTGACCATCTTGTTGAATTCATGCAATCAAAGAACATCGATATATCCTTAATGCGAGCGCAAGGATACGACGGTGCCAGCAGTATGCCAGGGCGGGTTATCGGGACGCAGGCCCTTATGAAACAACACGCGCCAAATGCATTGTATGTACATTGTAAAGCACATTGTTTAAATCTGACAGTTGTTCATAACTGCAAAGAACCATGTGCGCGTACAATGATGGCAACTGTGCAGGAAATTGGATTCGCATTTAGTTACTCGGCAAAACGTATGAATGCTTTTGTAGAAGAATTCGAAAACAACCAGAACGTCAAAGAAGCTTCAGACCGTTTTGTGAGCACATTCCGAAGATTGTTGTCCATTTGCCATTTTTTCTTCAGGACAAATCTTGTGACATGATTGCTGCAATGGAAGAGTGTCGCGTAGTTATTTTACAATTTGAAACAGAACGCAGCGATGATGCGGTGTGGAATGAAGTGTTCCAGAATGCAAAATGCGATTGGACAGGATTTCGGACTTTTCCCATCTATACCTCGTCGCGTGGGACGCCAGCAGAATAGAGCAAACGTTCCTGGTAATGACCCATACAACTACTTACGTCGTTCACTCTTCTGCGTGTTTCTTGACCACATGATTCAGGAACTGACAGATCGTCTATTTAATGCGGAGCCACACTTCACTGCTTTTCAGCTTATGCCAAAAAAAGTTAGAAGCATATCACATGAGCAGATTGCTCTCATTTTTTTATACATACCAGGCTGACATCACTGGGGATCTTACGTCTTTCAGAAGTGAAGTTATGCGATGGCAGAAACGTTGGGAGATGGCAACAAATAGACCAGAAGAGTTGACAGAGGTACTCGACCGCACTGCAAGACAACTTTACCCATCAATATGCGATATTTTGGTGATTGTGTTGACCATCCCAGTGTCCACTGCCAAAGCTGAACGGTCTTTCAGTGTCCTTAGGCGAATCAAGACATATCTCAGATCGACTACCAACATAGATCGTCTGTCATCATTGGCACAACTTCACATACACAGGGAAATTCCTATCGATACAAAAATTGGCATGGACATTTTCGCGAATCAAAAGAACAGAAAGTTAACTTTTATTTATTCAGGTGTTGAAGTTTGTTGTTAAAAAAAATTAAAAAACTGTCTCAGAAAACGATTCAAAACATCTTTGAAATCATGAAATTAATTTTCCGTAAGGGGGCTTTGTAAAGACTAAACTCGTTGTTTTCAAATGACTGTTGAAAAACACGTTCTTCCGCCTCGATGTCTTTCCCTCCTGGCACTATCGTATCGCACAGATGTAACATCTGCTGTCGGCTTCTTTGTAAAGACTAAACCCGTTTCTATCTTTATTCTCTATAATCAAAGTCTTCAGCAAATTTAAGATGACGTTTAGCATCTTTTCCGACCGCTTCGTGTAATTCTGGTTTTGTTTGATTTCTCAATGTGTAAACATTATCAGATTTTGAATTGATATACTTCCATCAATCCCTACAGAACTCTTTTGTCTCCATTTTTTGTGCAGTCATTCATCTATATTTCCGGCCATAAAGACCTTCAATTTATCTTGTCTCTTACAGTTTGTACACTTTGTTGATTTGTCAGGCCCATCACCATTTCACATGAATAATACTATCAGATGTACAAACGCTAGACAGTAACAATCCTGCTAGGTAGCACTTATTCCACAATGGAAACTGACAGGTGTGTTCGATAAGAAACAATGTATTATGACCAAGTGCCAATCTAGATCATACATCATACATCGCCAAGAGTGCAATTTTCACGCCGAGGATGCGGTTGATCAACATCATGCATGCTCAATTTCGAGGAAATATACAGAAATATCAATCAACATTATATTTTTTCGGGAATAAGAAAAGAAAACTTTCGCATTCAGCTATGTGGCCGATAAGATATGCGTCAGCAGTGCATTAGAGTTGTCTTTCGTTGGCCAATCTTTGCAAAGCAGTTGCTTTCCGTGCTGCTTGAAACGAATGCGTTTGTTTCGGATTTTTTTTTTTTTTTTTTAATTTTTTCTCGGTCATTCACGTTCTAAGGAATTGATGTATTTCCTATTGATGTCATTTGATATCATGAATTTAGTCTCTTAGGCTAGGGATAAATTATCAAGCAATGGCCCATTTTAAATAACCATTTGCAAAGGCAGACGTTAACATTATAATGAAATAAAAATCAATTTAAGGCTGTGATTTAAATAAAAATCTACATAGTTTTTTTTATTAAGAATCTATTGGTTGATTTTTAATTGGATGATTGTATAATGCCATTATTGGCTTATGGATTTAAAGCGCCAATATCTAGTGGAGTGAACTTTTAATAAAAAAAATTGTAAATAGACGTTTAAAAGTGACAATTAAAGCGAACAACGAGGCACTCAGGGAAGGAGATGGACATTACAAAACATATGCTTAAATATTACTGTGAAATTAAATCAGAATAATTTTTTTTTAAAGTTTACTTCTAAGGTGACTTGGCCAAGTTACCTCTGCCAACCCAAAGTATGGAGTGTCTACTTAAGTGGACGCTGAAGTTTCTAGATGTATATGTGGTTCAACGTTCCCTACCCGTGGCGGTTTATATTTCACGACAAGCTGAGAAATGGACCAGTCCGTGCCATTGTCATGATTGTGTCAGCGGGCAGGACAACTGTACCCTAATTGCACTGGATGACGTGTCTGAAATGCATTTCTCCTACTACAAGAAAATAGACTAGCCATCCCAGAGGGATCTTCTTGGCACACACCGTTGTTTGGTCTTTTCTTGAACTTTTCTATTATCTCCTTTATTTTTGCTCTTAATTAAATGGAATTTGAAATTCATGTGAAAAAATAGTGACTCGTGATCTTTAATTGTCAAACCAAAGATGGTCGCTGGTCGGCCATTTTGTTTCTCTATCGATTTAAAAATCAAAAGGGCACCTCTGGGGCAAGGGAGACGTATGTAGAAAATGTGAAAAGGTCTATCCAGTATTCCTCTCGAGACAACGACAAAATCTTTCATAGCCAACATCCAAGATGGCATATCTGCCAGCCATTTTGTTCGTCTGATCAGTCTTAAAATAAAAAGGCATAACTATATAGATTTAGGGACGCTTACATGCTGAATTTGACAGTACCTCTCAAAAAATAATGATAACCAGCATTTATTGTAAACATGCAATATGGTTACCAGCCAATCGAAAGATCGATTACAAACTTTCATTGTCAAAATCTACCATATCCGTCTGTCAAAACCAATCGGCACAAACCAAGGTATTAACAAGAATTGTTTATGAACTGATGATGAAAGACATATAAGGCGATTTGAATAGCATACATCGAGATAAAAATTGGGTGGGCCAGATTCGCTTTTCATCTTAAGTGTAATTTCATTTTTTTTTTTTTTTTTTCGTTAATTTCTTTTTTATTATTATTATTATTCTTATGTTTTTTTTTTTTTCAGATATGTATTTTTGCAACTCAAAGGCTGTTCCACAACTTGACTAGGATGTATAATTCCATTTACTGTTCCACAACTCAGCTGGGATGTATAATTCCATTTACTGTTCCAAAACTTGGCTGGGATGTATAATTCCATTTACTGTTCCACAACATGGCTGAGATGTATAATTCCATTTATTGTCCGCAACTTGGCTGAGATGTATAATTCCATTTACTGTTCCACAACTCAGCTGGGATGTATAATTCCATTTACTGTTCCACAACTCGTCTGGGATGTATAATTCCATTTACTGTTCCACAACTTGGCTGGGATGTATAATTCCATTTACTGTCCACAACTTGGCTGAGATGTATAATTCCATTTACTGTTCCACAACATGGCTGAGATGTATAATTCCATTTACTGTTCCACAACATGGCTGAGATGTATAATTCCATTTACTGTTCCACAACTTTGCTGGGATATATAATTCCATTTACTGTTCACAACTTGGCTGAGATGTATAATTCCATTTACTGTTCCACAACTCGTCTGGGATGTATAATTCCATTTACTGTTCCACAACTCGTCTGGGATGTATAATTCCATTTACTGTTCCACAACTTGGCTGAGATGTATAATTCCATTTACTGTTCCACAACTTGGCTGGGATGTATAATTCCATTTACTGTTCCACAACTTGACTGGGATGTATAATTCCATTTACTGTTCCACAACTTGGCTGGAGATGTATAATTCCATTTACTGTTCCACAACTTGGCTGGGATGTATAATTCCATTTACTGTTCCACAACTTGGCTGGGATGTATAATTCCATTTACTGTTCCACAACTTGGCTGGGATGTATAATTCCATTTACTGTTCCACAACTTGGCTGAGATGTATAATTCCATTTACTGTTCCACAACTTGGCTGGGATGTATAATTCCATTTACTGTTCCACAACTTGGCTGGGATGTATAATTCCATTTACTGTTCCACAACTTGGCTGAGATGTATAATTCCATTTACTGTTCCACAACTTGGCTGGGATGTATAATTCCATTTACTGTTCCACAACTTGGCTGGGATGTATAATTCCATTTACTGTCCACAACTTGGCTGAAATGTATAATTCCATTTACTGTTCCACAACTCAGCTGGGATGTATAATTCCATTTACTGTTCACAACTTGACTGAGATGTATAATTTTATTTACTGTTCCACAACTTGTCTGGGATGTATAATTCCATTTACTGTTCCACAACTTGGCTGAGATGTATAATTCCATTTACTGTTCCACAACTTGGCTGGGATGTATAATTCCATTTACTGTTCCACAACTTGGCTGAGATGTATAATTCCATTTACTGTTCCACAACTTGGCTGGGATGTATAATTCCATTTACTGTTCCACAACTTGACTGGGATGTATAATTCCATTTACTGTTCCACAACTTGGCTGAGATGTATAATTCCATTTACTGTTCCACAACTTGGCTGGGATGTATAATTCCATTTACTGTTCCACAACTTGGCTGGGATGTATAATTCCATTTACTGTTCCACAACTTGTCTGGGATGTATAATTCCATTTACTGTTCCACAACTTGGCTGAGATGTATAATTCCATTTACTGTTCCACAACTTGGCTGGGATGTATAATTCCATTTACTGTTCCACAACTTGGCTGGGATGTATAATTCCATTTACTGTTCCACAACTTGGCTGAGATGTATAATTCCATTTACTGTTCCACAACTTGGCTGGGATGTATAATTCCATTTACTGTTCCACAACTTGGCTGGGATGTATAATTCCATTTACTGTCCACAACTTGGCTGAAATGTATAATTCCATTTACTGTTCCACAACTCAGCTGGGATGTATAATTCCATTTACTGTTCACAACTTGACTGAGATGTATAATTCCATTTACTGTTCCACAACTCGTCTGGGATGTATAATTCCATTTACTGTCCACAACTAAGCTGGGATGTATAATTCCATTTACTGTTCCACAACTTGGCTGGGATGTATAATTCCATTTACTGTTCCACAACTTGGCTGAGATGTATAATTCCATTTACTGTTCCACAACTTGGCTGGGATGTATAATTCCATTTACTGTTCCACAACTCGACTGGGATGTATAATTCCATTTACTGTTTCACAACTCGGCTGGGATGTATGATTCCATTTACTGTCCACAACTTGACTGGGATGTATAATTCCATTTACTGTTTCACAACTCGGCTGGGATGTATGATTCCATTTACTGTCCACAACTTGACTGGGATGTATAATTCCATTTACTGTTCCACAACTCGTCTGGGATGTAGTTCCATGCGATTGTAATTTGTGTATTTTGGTTTAAGTTGGTGTTGAAAATCTGTTATCTGTCAATAAAATCCTGGCCATGGACTAATTAAGCAAGGAAATCCGTGCTTTAATCAATAACAAGGAAGTACCTTATAACCTATCACGATTCTTACGTGGAAATAATTACTTTTAATATAATTTTGTATTAAAAAAAAAATTAATAATTTCTCATTACATTCAGCTTCAAGTAAGAACTGAAGAGTTCATTCTCACGAAAGCACTGCAAACAGTATTTCAAATGTTTAATGAAAAAAGAAATTATGAAACTGACGTTGATAGGTCCGGTATGTATTCGTAGAAAATGGGGACGGGTCATCATGATTGCTCAATGTTAGTAAACAATATCAACTCGTTAAAAAGCATGTTCACACAAGTCTTGGTTATTTATTTTCACATATCACATGACAAGCAGCATTCTTTGCACCTGTATAGGAAATATGACATTTAGTTAAAAATACGATAAACTTGTGTCTTGCCAAGGCTAACAATCTAGAAGATATACATTTAGTACTTCGCTCGTTCCTTGTTTACAGTTCGTATTGAACTCACCTGCCTTATCCGCGATGTGACGTCAGCATATGTGTCACGTGAATGGACGCGGGAACGAGGCACATGTATAGCCGCCGCCATTGTTGTGGGAAAGGAAGCGCTTTTCGGGGATATTTCGTTGGAATTTACGTATACAGCAGGACTTGATATAGTGGAGTGAAAAACATTGTGAAACCTCAAACTTTTAAGACATTGATAGACTTATTGTTTCTTTGTGAGAGACATCTAGGAGGACAGAATAAGTGTGATGTCGGCAAGCATTGATCAGGTGGGGAAAGCCACGAAGGCCATGCGCCATTTCCTACGTATTCAAGATGGTCGCATGAAAATTGTCTGATTTCCTTGTAATTCTTTCGATGTGATTTTGTCGATGTTAATTTAATTATTTTTCGTTTTTTTATTTTCATGTACATTGCTGATTCACAGAGGACAAAGGGACAGCCAAATCAAGGTAAATAACTTTGTGAATTAACTGACCCACTGTCGCAAACTGCCTCGTGTATTGCGACTGTAAGCCTTGATCAACAGGTCTTGACCCAAGCCTATTCAACAAACTTAATTGCGGAATGCATACGTGTCCACCATTTCCAATGGCCTATTCCCATTCATTTGTGTCCACAATCTCGGCACTCTTAATTTTACCCTGACATTCACACACGGGATGAAATTGAAAGTTCGATAACAGTGAACACACCCGTATGTTTGTGTATATTTGGGTTTGGCATGTACAAGATCCCGCTGTGTATTCCAGGAAATCTTGCTATTTAAATGGTATCGATAAGATAGCTAAATGTGATGTTTTTGTGGATAGTATTTACTTTGAAAAGTGGCGAACCTGTAAGAAACAAATTTAATTTATTTCTTATAAGCAAGATATCATACGTTAAACGATTACTTGTATACAAAAATATTATGAGAAAAAAAAGATATTTTGATTATTGAACTTGAGGTAATCTGGTTAGCAATTTAATTTTAAGGAAATAAGGAGTTGCATTTCATAATTGGAATGGTAATTTTTTATAGTGGCGAATGGAGCTGTTAAAGAAACTGTGAAGGAAGAAGAGTTTGATCCCTACCTCCAGCAGCCAGCTGCCCATCAGGTAAATACTGTTGGTTAGATTAAGGTTGACAAGTTGATGTTAAGGTACCACAATTTCATCGATATCAGTAAGTGTTGATAATTGTTGGATTGAAATTGTTTTGTAGTTCAGGAAAACTATAGAGATTGAAGAACTAAATGTAAAATCATAAATTTTGGCAAGGAATTTATTTTCATTTTAATCAGTGGTTACTTTTAAATTCCACAAATGTATATGTCCACAGATGAAAGTTGACATGGATTTAAGAACTAATGAACAAAATTCATTTACAATTGACATTGAAATGTATTTTTTTTTTTTTTTTTTGAAAAAAAAAACCACAAAATTTTAGCCCCCACGAAAATACAGTAGATGTATGAAACAGTTTCATTGATTTGAAATGCAGCTCTTACTTGTGATGTTCTGAAATATAATCAACTTGCTTTGAAGATGACCTTAAATTACTGTTACCTGTAAAGGGATAGAAATGTTTTTTTCTTATGTATTCTGCCAATAGATTGTAGAATATTAATTTCTATGAAAATACTTGTAAATTGTTGTATTTTACAGGCTGGATACAGTGCCGGACCAATGTCAAGCCCTGGAGTTTCCGATACCTTCATGCCAAGTTATTATAATCCTTCTATGTCTTTCCCATATTTGGGACAAGGACTGAGTGAGGGTGGAGCCTGGTCTAATGGGGGTGATGCCACTATGTTCTCAATTGGAAGTTATGATTACAATGGAATGTTCAGTAGTGCAGGATTTGGTTACCCTCAATTTGGATGGACTGATTATTCGGGGAGTGACTATTGGGGTAATGCAGCAGGACAGGCTAGAAAGGATGCTAGGGGTTACCCTGATGATTACTACCGGACAGAAAACATGATTCCGGCAGATCCCTACACAATGAATGGTGGTGAGTTTGAACGTGATCCAAACATGGCAGGGGTGGAGCAGGGACTAAAAGGCATGAATATTAGTGATAAACAGGTGGATGCTCATGGTGTGACTGTTAATGACCAAGGTCATTTACAAGGGGACATGAGTGGAGCACCAGTTCCTGCAGGACCTGTGCAGCATGTGCCTGTGACGTCTCAAGCTCCTAAAAAGGCTTCATGGGCAGCCATCGCCAGTCAGCCTGCTCGACCCCAGCCCCAACTGAAACATCGGACTATTCCTAGAGCCCCAATGAATCCAAACAACAAGCAAAACATGGACATTGGGACTTGGGATACCCGCAACAATGGAGGAAACAAGCAAGGCAATGGACAGGGACGAACGTGGAATGTGCCACGAAGGTCTGGCATGAACTCTTATAATTCTAGTTCTAATTCGGGCCACTCTAATCAATCTTCAAGCGCTGGAAGTTCTGGACTAGCTTTAATTCCGAACCCCCAACAAGGGGCCACCGCTCACCCTGTGTTAGAAAAACTGCGCTCTGCCAACCAATACAACCCAAAGGATTTCAATATGAATCCACGTGGAGCCAGGTTCTTTGTCATCAAGAGCTACTCGGAGGACGATATTCACCGTTCCATCAAGTACAGCATTTGGTGTAGTACAGAGCATGGTAATAAGAGACTGGATAGTGCATACAAGGAGCGCGAGTCGAAGGGACCGATCTACCTGTTCTATAGTGTCAATGGCAGTGGTCACTTCTGTGGCATGGCCCAGATGATGTCTACACTGGACTACAATCGTAGTGCAGGGGTTTGGGCCCAGGACAAGTGGAAAGGTCAGTTTGAAGTCAAATGGATATATGTGAAGGACGTTCCCAACAGTCAACTTAGGCACATTCGTCTGGAGAACAATGAAAACAAGCCTGTCACGAACTCTCGTGATACACAGGAAGTGCCGCCAGAGAAAGGGAAGCAGGTGTTGAAGCTCCTTCATACTTACCGTCACACAACTTCCATATTTGATGACTTTGGTCACTACGAGAAACGCCAAGAAGAAGAGGTGAATTGAGATTCCTGTCTTTCACATAAATATTAGTTTGTAGTGGAGTAACCACTGCAGAAAAGTCCAGGTTGTACTGGTACCAGTGCACATCATTTTGGAAAGCTGTCGAGGTTGAAGGGGCCAGAGTGCTATATCTTTGTTCTTTCTTGAAGCAGTGTTTTGTAAAAGTGGGGCTCATTATCTCATTTAAAAATGTTGATTTTAATATTTAATACTGTTCATCATTTCCATACATCTAGACAATCTCTGCATGAATATATAAAGATTGTCAGATGGCCTATGTATTAATTGTAACACTATAAACTAAGTTATCAATATTACTGTAAAAGTAGATCTAAGGCTGATTACACCTGAACAACTGTTTGACACACTGAAACTAGTTACCATCAAGGCAAGTTTTGATTTTATGCCCCAATTTTAGAGGGAAAAATTAATATATGTAGTACTACAAATGATTAAGATAATTGTCTGACTAGATTTGACCATTGATTGTGGTCCCAGTAGCAAACAACACAGATATATTGATAATCATACTTTGAATTCATTGAAAGCAGTCATTTTAGTCTGTTCATGATTACGGTAAAGGAACAAAGTATTTTTGGAAACAAAATATTTGAGCTGAAATGTCCTCTTTTCTTTTTTTTTCTTTTTTTTTTTTTCGAAAGTTTTACATATATGCTTAATATACATAAATAACTGCCAGAAAAAACAACTGTCACACAGATTCAAATACCCTTAACAGTTGCTCAACACTGCCCCAACCACATTGGTTGCTCATTGTTTACAAGTTTCTTCAACAGAATATTGTAACAGTCAGTGAGAAACATAGGTAAAATACCGGGCTTTTGTTTTTATTAGAAGGAAAAGGCTTGCATATAAGTTACAACGGGAAACAAGCCATATTCATTAGCAGGGCTCTCGATCTGCCAGATTTGGGGACGATATTCTGTCCCATTCCCAATACAAAATAGTATCTTTTTTCCCCAATTTAGACCCCAAGTTTTCCGAATTCTAAGGAAAACGCTGCTATTTTCCCCAATTCTGAGGGCCCTGGGCCCCAGTCTCAAAATGGGGTGCGATAGGCTTGATTAGTGAAACAAAACAAATTAAAGTAACTATTAATTTGTTTCTTGTTTCTAACAATGACATATATGTTTTTCCTCAACCCTAACCCAACAAACAACAACAAAACATTGTGATAAGAAAAGAACTACATTTTACATGTTGATATAAAATATGGTAGCTAGGCCAATTACACAGTATAACCTAATGATTCAATTGTTTCACATGTACAGAGAGTTTATAATTACTAATTTAATTTTTATTAAAGCATCCTCTCAGCTGTCTTGGGTAACAAGTCATTCAAGTATTAGTAAGATTGTGTTTGGTTTTTGTAAGTATAAAGGAATCTGATGCTTTGGATGATCCTTTAAATATGCTCTGGTATCAATAAATGTACGAACAAATTCCATTCTTGTAGAAGGTTATCAGGATAGACCTCGTGTGAGAAGAATGCCTGAGTTTCATGTGTATAAAAGTGCATACAGATAGATATAGCAAAATATATGTTCTTCAATCTACAAGCAAATTTGTATACTATTGATGCTTTTAAGTTCAGAACAAACAGAAATTTACTTTAAATGGTTATAGATTTACAGTAGATGAATGGCCAGTCATATTTTTTGACAGTATTACTTGACAAAATATCACAACACATGAATTTTCCTACAGCTATGACATCTTCAATATGTATATATACAAAAAAAAGCACCACATTTTTTTCAAATTACATGAAATGAATGCCCTCAGGAACTCCTTTATTTACTGTACAGTAACAACCTGGATGTAATGACTCCTATTAAGATAGATCTAGAGGAGGAGTTGAATGTTGATATTTTTGTCTGTCCGAACTCGTACAGATTGAGCAGACAGGGTAAAAGTGGGTCACCATATGGCCAGTATATATTGGTTACTTTCACACCGTGTCCTTACATTAACTGAAACCAAAAGAAATGCTAACAGAATATCCTGATAATTTGAACTACTTTTTGTGGTAACTTTACCCAAGAGACACATGCAATCAGTTGTTTCCCCATGATAGCAAATGAAGCTTTAACTTCTTTATATCAATGCTGTTTTTAATATATTGTTACATTATTTAGATATAAAACCATGGCCAAATATGTTTTGTCATCCTTGATAAGTAGTGTATGCAAGATAATAGATTTGTCTTGTCTCTGTAGTGATTGCAACAAAAACTTTAATTATTACATATATATGTTTATGATTTCTTAAAGCATATTCAGTATACAAGATCTTTTTCTTGAAAGCAAATTTAAAGTCTAGGGTGTGTATGTGTCATTCATTGTCACAGTGAGAAAGCATGTAGGTGTACACAGTTTTTATTTGCCCTCCAAAATTTTGACAAGGTATTATGGTATGGCATCAGTCCATCATTAATTCATTAGGTATATTTGAAGTTGATATTAGGGTTATACATGTATTTTAAACATCTTTTTGAATATATTCACACTTCTGTTTGGTTGGTAAAACATCAAACTTTGCATCTTCAAGTGAAAATAAGAGTGTTGTGATGATTCAAATCCCTGTCTGGGGTTTGTGTTAAATTGTAGAAAGCTGAAATCACAGATTGCCTTGTGCTGTAGTGTGATGGTTGTCTTTGGGCAAGAGATGTCGTATATAAGCACATTATTTCAAGAAATCATATTTTTAAGATATTTTGAGATACAGACTGAGTTGGAAGTTTTTTTTTTAACATCACGGAAATGCCTAGTTATTGTTGTTCGAATTTTATATATAAATATATGTATAGAGTGTCAAATCATATATATATATATATATATATATATATAATACAAAAATGTACTGATTATGAAAGTAATTCTAAAATGGTAATGATTCCATTTGACAATGAAAAAGAGATCAACATTTCATTTCTGTTGTCAAATATGTCATTACAAATATATTGTAGTTTTAACAACAGGGCTCTCAATCTGCCAGATTTGGGGCCGATTCCCAATGCACAATAGTGTCTTTTTTTCCCCAATTTAGACCCAAAGTTTTCCCAATTCTAAGGAAAACACTATTATTTTTCCCAATTCTAAGGGCCCCGGGCCCCAGTCCCAAAATGGGATGTGAGAGCCCTGAACAATGTCTGGCCTTTCATACGAGACTGACTTATCTAGATACCATGTCCTGCAAGGAATCTTGAAACTTCTGCTTGCTTTCAAGATTACAGGGTAGCCCATCTCAATCTATAGCTGCTGGGTGTTGAACATTAGTTTAGATTCTTAATCAATCTTAAAGTGATATTCTGGACCTAAACTTGCTACATGAGTGATCTTGTACAAGGGAGATAATTGTAAGATAAACTCTAAATGGATTTATTCATTATTAAAAAGATGTTTTTTTTTGGGGGGGGGTCGTGGGAACTAAAAAACCTAAGTAAGACCAAAAAAAAAAAAAAGGGGGGGGGGGGGGGGGGGCAGTAGAAAAAAAATATAACTGGTGAAATGTTGCATCCATGCCAGAAAGGTGGAAAAGAAATATTTGCAGCATGGGGCTTGGAATCCAGATGTTTCATCACGTTTGCACGGCTATTGGGAAGGTGGATATGTTTCAATGGATAGATTGTTGCAGACATAAGTTACCTTTCTTTCACAGACTTTTGAAAGAGACTAAGAGATGTTTTTCCTGCAAATATGAATAATATTTGACCTAAGGTTTTATTGGCAATTTGTTTTCTTAAACTCCAATCGAGGTATAGAAAGTCTTTAGGTGTTGTAGTAAAATCATATTCATGTGAGGATGCAGAATACAGCTATCTAGATATTTAAGTCTTTGTCCTACACCCTGGAGAGCACCATCAAAATCACACACACAAACAACAAAAGGTCATGCTTTTATGACTTCGTCATCTGGTAAGCCAGGTATTTTGCTGTTAGGGCCACACAATGCTAACCCAAGTATTTGTTGTTTAGGTCACATAAGTGTCTTCAAATGAAGAATGTCACTTTGTCCATGTATATCTTAGTTATCCTTTATGACGTATTTGTTAGATTTCATTACCATATCTCTTACAGAATTGTGAATATGTATTGGAAATTAGAGTCTATCATTCTTCCCCAGAAAAAAAATCCGGCATCTATTAAATTGGTAAGCAGGTCATATTCAAGTTTTCAGGCAACTGATAACAAAGTCCTGCTGCAGTTTGCAGGTGAGCAGCAGACGATTAGTAGGAAAGTCCAGCTTAGGTTTGTAAGCAACTGTTAACCAAGTCCTGTTTCAGTTTCATTTGTAGGTAACCATAATCAGCTCCTGGCTCTGTTGGTTACTGGTACCCAATTCCATCAGTTTGTAGGTGACTGGTAACCATGGTTACTGCAGTTTGTAGGTGACTGGTAACCATGCCTACTTCAGTTTGTAGGTGACTGGTAACCATGCTTACTTCAGTTTTTAGGTGACTGGTAACCATGCCTACTGCAGTTTGTAGGTGACTGGTAACCATGCCTACTTCAGTTTGTAGGTGACTGGTAACCATGCCTACTTCAGTTTGTAGGTGACTGGTAACCATGCCTACTGCAGTTTGTAGGTGACTGGTAACCATGCCTACTGCAGTTTGTAGGTGACTGGTAACCAGGTCCAGGATCAGTTTGTTGGCTATCTATAACCAGCTGTTTTTAGGTGTCTTTCAACCTCATCCTACTTCAGTTTATATGTGTCTGAAAAACCAAGTCTCACTTTAGTTGTAACAAAGTCCTTCAGTTCACAAATGGCTGCTGGTAACATATGCCACTGCAGGTAGCCAAGTTGGGAGATCTGCAAATACATAACTGAGCACATCTAAACTAAACTTTAATCATAGTATTGATATTATTGTGTTCTTGTTGAGTTTATGACGTACCATTTTGTGATTTTAGGATCCAGCTGATGAGGAACAAGCACCAACACAGCAACAGCAGCAGCAACAACGCCCTGCACAGCAGAGACAGTAGAAATGTCACAGGATGACCCCCGGTTCTAAAGAGGTCAAAAGGTCTATGACCACACCTGCGACTTCCCCCACGGAACTTGAAGATATATATAAATATCAAGTGTGGAGAGGAAATTTTCAGTTTATTTAACACGTGGATCTTAACTAACTAGTGTAGTGATATGGTGTTGATGGATCCAGATATAATGCGCTGTGAGAAAAATCGTACAAAAATTCTTCAATTTTAAAATTTTTATTATAAAGTGATATTCTGTTATATTGTCTTTGTTTTACATCTTCATTTGATTCTAAATCTTGGAATTAAAATCTACAACAGGTTGCCATGAGATAACGAAAAAAGCAATGCGTCGCGAAAACACTATACCCGGTACTTGGAATTTTCTTAAAGAAATAGTGATTCTGTGCTGAAAAATTCAAATAATACAGTACAAGTCAATAATGCTGATTTTCTTTTATTTTTAACTTCAAAGCATCATCCTTTTGATTTTAAAAAATATTGTACTAGTCGTACTGATGTTTGCTATAGAGGATGAGACAGACCTATAGTGACAAATGTGTTTTCATATAAATTCATCAGTTGCAACACACAAAAACATTAATTATGGACCATAAAAATATGCACGTTCGAGTGATATTTGACCCAAGGTGGGATGACTTTTCTTCATACTTCATGTATCGAAGACATCGCCAAGTGCATTAAACTTCATTTACCATGAAACATTTGAAGTAGGGTGTGTTTGGTATGTAATAGACTTCCATTTGACAAATCTGTGCTACATTGCCTGCCTGAGGATGCCTCTTTGTGGATAGACACAAGTTTTAAATAAAAGTGTGGTTTTGTTTTCTCGGACAATTCACAACTTACAAAGACAGAAGAGAGAAACAAATTCAAGGAAGGTTATTTAAAATAAGGAAAGCAATTTACAAGAGACATCCGGATGCAGTGCATTTCCCCCCTCTTTAAAGAAAAAACTTGCAAGACAAATCACAGAAATGTGGGGAATATCAATCATATGGAGGTAATGAATCCTTGTGTTCAAAGAGAAACAATTCTCTGTGCATATTTCAGTTTGAAACCAGAGAAAAAAAAGGATGCATTTATAATAAATAACTCAACATTAAGTTTTCTTATGAATTATTCCAGCTGTTGTGTGGTTGTTCAAAGGACGCATGGCTGTACTCCTGAAAATGAAATCGTCCGATTGCCTATTAAAAACTGCTACATACTGTGCAAATATTATGTTGTATTTGTCTTTTCTAGTCATGAATGTTTATTTCAGTTTTAAGTGACCTACTGCAATCTCCTTTTGTCCATTGCCAAATATGAACAAAAAAGAGAGTTATTCTCTACCACCCAAGTGGCCTGAATTGAAGGGGTCGATGTGATCAACAGGTCTAAAATCTACTCCTCGAGACCTAGATGTTTAACCAAATAGGGTCTTGCAATACTTAACAAAAGATGAGAACTTTATAAGGAATAAACAAGATGTCTAACGGTCTTGTCGGTCACCAATAAGCAATATTGAATATAAAGGTAATAGAATCAGTAGCTATTGCCAAAAAAAAAAAGAAATTGCAACTTTAATGATGGTAAGACTAGCGATATGTTGAAAGCTCCTGGAGTCAGTCTTGTGTCAATACATGAATACCATCAAAACTTGTCATCCTATACTGATTTACCCAATTATTTCTGGTGGAAAATAACCTTACCAAAAATTCAATTTTCTTAAGAAAAATATACAACTTCAACCACTCTCCAGGAGAAATGTGAGACAATAGGGTTGTGAAACTCGCCACTATTGTGAAGCATCATAAGATCCATCCATCCATGAACAATTTATCATATCGGGGTGTTGAGAAGATTCATTCAAGTCAACTTGACAGCTTCTGGTTCTGCCCATCAGCCTCTGATGGTCAACGAGGGCCAATATCTGCATACCAACAAGCAATCATCATCCTTTGCTTCAATCGTTCCAATTGAAATGAAACAAATCGTCAAAAAAGCACTTCTCCAGTATGAACTAGTAAACTTTACTCCCTCCCCATGGGGAAATGCGAGACCATTAGGTCATGAAATCTAAAATTTTGGTAAAGTAGCTTAAGACCTTTCCATCAACGAAGAGTACATAATTCTACCATATCTGGATGTTGCAATATTTTGAAATTGGATTCAATTTGGCCCTGGCCACAAGCCCCACAGTGGGGGTTCCTTATATCATTCACAATCTTTTGGTTCATCTTTTGCCAGGGAAGGATTTTGCAAAATGTTATTGAAATGGCTTCAGGGATTTGGATAAGTCCAATATGTTTATGGACAGTGGGATAAAAGGTAATTACAAAAGGCCACCATGAGACCATATGTCTCGGGTGACTGAAATTAAAGAAGGGAAAAATCCTATTTTTTAAGGTTCAAATAAAAATGAAGCAATAATGGGCACCAAGATATCTTGCTTTAGCATCATTTAAATACTGTGACCTGGATGGTCAAATATGAGTGAAAATTCAAAACATGCTATTTTCCTGAGGTAAAAAAGATACATTTTCACTGAATCTCACTGCACAAAAATGTAACAAACCAACTTGTGTTGCAGCAAGACAAGTCTTTATTGATTTTAAATTACATGAACGGAAACAATTTGTCACAAATACATATTCATGTATCATCAAACCAGCACCTGGTGTGTAGAAAATTGTCATTTAAATAGTCCAGTACAATAAATAGCATGGATACTGCATATCGGTCTGCGCTGATGTAATTTCGTCACAATTTTGGCCAAGTTAATTTTTACAATTAGCTCTTATTGCATAGTGTTGGATAAGAATATCCAAATTCACATCTGCAGGAAAAACAACAAAACTAGAACAAAAATAAACATTAATACACAAAGACAAGAATTAATTTAAAAGTACAAGTGTTCTACTTTATCATTTAAACTTAACAGCCTGAGGGTGTTTATACCCTCATTTATACACTGTTTTCTCTTTACTTAATAGATTTCAATATTATCCAGTCAAAACCGACCAGTCAGTCAACATGACTTTGAAAAAATGGAAACTGCATAACGAGTATGCTTGAGACTGTTTTACAATGAAATGATCCAAGGGTGCAGAGAGCAAAAGTGATCGTAACCCCTGGAGTACCAAGGTTGTGCTTTGGGTGATTAAGGAAAATATTTAATTTAATTTGAATCATACTGAAGGATGGTAAAAATGAAAACTTAATCTATTTGTAATGTAAAAAATATATATATATATATTAATTTAAAAAACATTTTATACTTTTTGAAAATTCCATTTTGAAAAATTGATATCTCTTGGTTATGAAGTCTGAGACAGTTGTTTGTATAAAGGTAATGAATACAAAGTAACAATTCAACATTATAAATTACACTGAGCCTTAAGTCTTCAATGTTAACAACAGTATCAAAGTATTCTAACAGACCTGACATGAAATACACCTGGCATATTCAATGAATGAGACTATAGGTTCATCTCAGAAATCAAATCAAATCCAACTTGTACAGGGGTTATGTTTCATACATGAAGGCTATATATTTGATTTCAGATTTTTGTCAATGATTCCTGGATTCAGATTATAGCTTACAGACAATTCTGTGAAATATCAGATAAAAAGCACAATGTTTAATTAACTTGAAATATCATTAATTAACATAATACATATATATTGTAAATTTCTTAATTACAATACTCAAATGCTGATATACATAAATATAGGCCATTTTTGTTCCCAATGATTTACAATTCTAAAAAAGTGAACTTTATAGTTATCACACCTCTATAAAGGGGTCTGTTAAGGACACTTGTTTTGGTACCCAATGCAACATACAATTTACAGTGGTTGAGCCGCTGTACAAAAGGTTACCTGTCTATAAAGGCCATTTTCGTTGTTATTTTATGATGACTAAATTCATCTTTAACGATTATATAAAAATCTTACGTATATTATATCTTTATACTAATTATCATATATAACTAAATGACATTTTATCACAATAGTACTGCTAAATACCATGACAATAAAAAAAGGTTCTTATAAAAATGTAATCAATTATTAATGCTGTGTTATGTACAAAAATAACTTAATTTTAATATTGATATTTGATACATGTAAAGAATGACAAAATACACTGATCAACAGATGTTCTCTTTATCTTCAGCTGTTCAATATTTACAAAAATATGATTGATGTCATCATTACAAGGGAGATAACTGCACATTTTTTCTTCCCTTTTTTATCAATCTTGAAAATAAAAATTCTCAAATTCATTCATTATAAAGTCGTCTATATAGAATAATTTACTTATTTATTATATCATTGTTATGATTGCTTCAAAAACCTAATGGACATCAAGATAGAAAAGGCACTTGTGAAAACATTACATGGATTGCTATAATTATCAGCACTGAAAAATATATAACTGATATTATTAGCATATCATTACATTCATCACTAGTTGGTCTGCTTAGATAATAGAATATCACTGCAGTCATATCCTATTTCCAGACATCTGAATCATGTAATAATGTGACTTGTATCATTAATAAATTTGAAAGTGCATAAGAGCAAGAGGGCCATGAAGTGTTAAAGAAACAATAATTGGAAATTTAAACAAAATAATTTTCAATATGTTATTTCAACTTGAAATAATGCAACCATAAAAAAGGAAATGTAACAGTGAAATCCAGTCAGAGGTGTTTACTTATCTGATGAAATGTGGCGACTGTAAACAAATCAATTTCATAATACCACAATTAGTTGGAACAATGACAATTTGACTGCAAAAAAACTGGATTGCCTGAATATAAGCAATTTTATTTCTGACAATCTCTATAACACCTCAAATATTACTATAACACAGTTGTAATGGTACCAGTGTGTTTTGTATGTGGGTAAAGTAAAAGTAATTTCAAATTAATCGGACATAATTAATATCAGATATGTTATGCAATAATCTATTTTATTATGCCTTGTCCTTGTGCATCCAGTGATTCTTTTTCAATTATGCAAATTGTGAAAGTGTGTATAAGGTTATAATAAAAACTTTTAAAAAAAGACATGGAAATGATACATAAATTGAAAAAAAAATGTATATACAGATCTTCATCTCTTGCCGAAATATCTTTGCCCAAATAGTGCTTTTCTTTTCATGTCATGTTCTCGCATATATGCCTACATGTATTCAAACTGATTTGATGATGGCCTTATTTTAGAAAATGCAGTAAAATAGCTTCCCT